TTCGATAGATTAATTTACTCTAATCCTGCCTAAAGAATTTCATGTGCCCGGCTATTGAAGATTCCCTATTGTTTCTATAAAAATCTGTTATAAACAGAAGAATACGAACAAATAAGAAACATACAAGCAAATAACATTGAAGTATCATACTCAGACAACAGTGAATTCCTTGGGCTAACTTTTCAAAAACATCTTTCATGGACAGAACAAATTAAGTATTTACGATACTATTTCCAACATAAGTAATTAATTTATTGCCACGGGTCTCTAAGAGTTCTCTGATAGAGATGTACTGGTTAAACCATATAAAATCTACATACTTGCATCAGACTAGTTTCCAAATATGTTCATCTCGCCTCTGCATCTCAAACAAGTAAAAAAAAATAATTGACAGAAAATACAAAACCATATACTTAAACCTAGCGACTAGACTTTCTTATTACTCGATCCGGGGCCTACATGAGATATCAACATTACTTCTATTTATCTGGACTGTATATAAGATAGCAGAGATTAGGGCTATCAATCTGGGCCCTCCATAAGAAACCAAACATTACTCCTATCATTCTGAGCCCTACAAAAGACAGCAAATATTCTCACCTGTCAATATGAACCCTAGATGAGGCAGAAAACATTATCAATATCAATCTGGGTCTCACATAATAAACCAGACGTTACTCATATCAATCTGGGTCTCATATAAGATAGCAAATATTACTCTAGACCATAGATAAAGCAGCAGAGATTACTTTTATCAATCCTGACTCTAAATAATAGATCAAACATTGCTTCTATCAATCTGAGTTCTACATAAAACAGCAAACATTTACATCTACTAATACTGACGAGTAAAACTCAATTAAGACAGTAAATGTTACTCCTATTACTTTGGGCCACACATAATACAGCAAACATTATTCCTAGCAAACTTGGTCCCACATTGCTCTCTTGGGTTCCACTTAAGATACTGTACATTACACACATAAATATGGGTCCTACAGAGACAATAAATATTATTGTTTATAATATAATTACTAAATGAATTACAGTAGGTACAACCAAAACTACCTTAATAGAAAATACCGTACTGATATTTATCTTAAGCCTCAGAACAGTAGACGACCTATATTTAACCTCATAACATGTTTACGAATGAAAGCTATAATTAATAATAAACAGATACATGCTCAAGATATTCAACTTAATACCAATCTTTATTAAGTTCACATAATAACTATTTTAAAAAAAGGAAAAAAACGTGCACCAAAAAAGGCGACAAATGATAAGTTCAGACCATATTAATCCAGCAAGAAATGCTATCCAAATCTTAAAGAAAAAACGTATTTTGAAATATGACTACTAGAGACCTGCAGATGATTATTGTCTTGTAGTAGTGGATGAAATATGACTACTAGAGACCTGCAGATAATTATTGTCTTGTAGTAGTGGATGAAATATGACTACTAGAGACCTGCAGATAATTATTGTCTTGTAGTAGTGGATGAAATATGACTACTAGAGACCTGCAGATGATTATTGTCTTGTAGTAGTGGATGAAATATGACTACTAGAGACCTGCAGATAATTATTGTCTTGTAGTAGTGGATGAAATATGACTACTAGAGACCTGCAGATAATTATTGTCTTGTAGTAGTGAATGAAATATGACTACTAGAGACCTGCAGATGATTATTGTCTTGTAGTAGTGGAGTCTCTTTCGAAAAAAGTAACTTACCTGAATGAAGTGTAATTTATTTTGAATGTTTTCGTCAACTCTCCTAGTCTGTAGCTGAACATTGTAGCTCATTCACGTAAGAGTCATCATTGAACAGTGTTTTTACATTGGAAGAGCCACGACCACATTTAAAATAACTATTTGTCATGAGAACAATGGAAATAGACATTCAACTAAAATGCTTCATCTAAAGGAGTTATAATTTATTGTTTATTAGCAGCCAGGTAACTTACTCTAATATGACTGCACTTGGTTCCTTCTTTAGAAGGCAGTGTCCTAAAAACGTCTAAGTGTATGTTTGCCATGTTTGTTGCAAGTTTTTCCTGGAGATTTGACGTCAGAGATCCGTGTTACAAGAGAATCCTGATGAGTTTTCGTTAACAGTACATGTAGTTCTTTCTGAACAACGCTGATGTTTAAAAGTTTTTCCTGGAGATTTGACGTCAGAGATCCGTGTTATAAGAGAATCCTGATGAGTTTTTGTTAACAGTACATGTAGTTCTTTCTGAACAACGCTGATGTTTAAATTACATAACCACTACTACTGGTAGGTATTTCGGTTTAAAGTATTCCTAGTAGGACTTCTGAAGACAACCGGAAACAGCTGTTCTCCTACTCCCCACTCGAGGTTTAGGTAGGGGCCGAATCTTGGTTGTGAAATTATTGCTTAAGTGGTTGGATTGGTTTTACAGGACTGGAGACTCAAAGACCAATGACATAACTCCTCTGACCACATAACTTTATGTACGTAGTAATGGTGACCCCTGTCCTTTCTAGTTATTGGTGATGCTTCGGCGGTTATATCTTTACTACCTATATCGGTAGACTGGAATTTTCTAGATCGTAACAACTGGACATTGGCGAGGTTTTGGTGGTATTACTTTACTGTCCATATAAGTAGAGCGTAATAGTAGCCGACGTTGTTTCTGGACATCAGTGATACTTCAGCGACATATGTTAACTGTACGTACAGGTAGGCTGGACTTTACTGTAATTTTTTATTTAGATATTGTCTTTCAAATATAATTACATTATTTTGACAAATTTATCTATCATGCAATATTTCCTGTTTCTGAGTCTTATAAAATGTAACAATCTCGTGCTACTGCGCAATGCACATTGTAGTTTACTAACAATGTCATTCTTATTTAATAGAAATTAAATAGAGTTTTTCGTTTATATAATTATTTTAACGGTTACTTTGCCTAGTACTAATAAATGACCGTACACATCATTAAGCATGTTTTTACGAATTTACGAACCTTCTAAGATATTTGAATATTTTACATTTTGGGAGTAGAATCCACATAGAACCAAACAAGAATATTCATGCATAGATGTCAGTAAAAATATAATTAATATTTAGATATCACTATCATTTTCTTGGACAGTTAGTATGTAATTTCGAAATTCACTTAGACCAAGGTAAAGACGATAATCTTACATGATAATTCGTACAAAACTTATATAATATCTTTTACCCATAACTTTCTATAATGTCATGAACAATAATAAATTTTACCCATAACTTTCTATAATGCCACAAACAATAATATATTTTACCCATAACTTTCTATAATGCCATGAACAATATCTTTTACCCATAACTTTCTATAATGCCACGAACAATAATATCTTTTACCTATAACTTTCTATAATCCCATGAACAATAATATATTTTACCCATAACTTTCTATAATGCCACAAACAATAATATATTTTACTCATAACTTTCTATAATGTCATGAACAATAATATCTTTTACCCATAACTTTCTATAATGCCACGAACAATAATATCTTTTACCCATAACTTTCTATAATGCCACGAACAATAATATCTTTTACCCATAACTTTCTATAATGC